CTTATTCTATCTAGTTTTCCCGAGCCAAATGGAAGATTAGTTGGTCAATTCCTAAGAGGTACAGCATTGAATCAACATCAATGCACCATCTCCATGGTTTCCTCATTTTCTTACGTCTTCAATTAGTCCAGCAGCAACATATATCCTATACTAGTTGGCACGCAGGCCTAAAAGAAATTGGACTCGCAAGTCCAAAATAATAAAGATCTCGCAGGTACATAACAACAATAATAATAACGGACTTATAGGTCCAAAACAATTAAGGGCTCGTAGGCCCATAAAACGACCAGAATTAAATCAACCATTCAACACATCCATACAGTCGAGTCCATAATCATCCATAAATAAACATTTATCACCTATGTATAATATCTAATATTATATGCTATGTCTCAAGAATCTAGCAATTATAGCCGTCTAAACTTATTTAAAATTTTGGATCGAAATAATTAAATAATTAATTAATCATATTAATTAATTAACTTAATTGGGGGGCCTATTTAACTAAAATCAAATTTTTAATTAAATCACAAATTAGAGTCCAACTCTAATTCCATAACTATTGGGCAAAGTTATTTAAAATCAAATTTTAATTAAATTCCGGATTAGAGTCCAACCCTAAGGTGTGATAATTCAATTAAAATCAAATTTTAATTAATTATTAAATTAGAGTCCTACTCTAATTTCAATATGTATTGGGGAAGTAATATTAATTAAAATCAAATTTTAATTAACATAATATTAGAGTCCAACTCTAATATAATTGAATTAATATTTTAATTTAGGACAAGAACCCCTAAATAAAACAAAAAATTCAATTTAGGGTCAAAATTAAATATTTAAGTTAAAATCTAATTTTAAAAAATATAAAATTCGTCAAAATTTTAAATATATCATTAATTTTGGGCCTAAATTGAAACATGGGTCAAATCCAATAAAATCATAATTTCTGAAACCATTTTGAATTCAAATTTAAAACCAATTTCAAAAATTGCAATTTGACCCAAGTCAAAATTAAAACACAAGTTCCTCAATTTCGTAAATTGTATGACAGGCTCTCTATTAAAATTGCAAAATCACCCATATATCTTTAATTGCAGGCGAGGGCTCGCAATTACATTAATTGCAATAAAAGCCCCCTCCTCCACCTTCCCCAATTTGAAATCCTAAAGAATTTTTTTTAAAACTTTTTTTTAAATTCCAACTGGCGCCCCCCCCCCCCCCCACAAAGGACGGCAGGGGCTGCCAGGGCGACAGTCGCTCGCTGCCTTTAACAGCACTAAGGCACTGCTGCAGTCTGCAGCGGCCCCTGCTGCTGCTGCACATCGCCGCCACTCACAAGATCCAATTTTTTTTTTTTTTTCAAAATCAAATTTTGAAGAAGTAAAATTACTTTAATTGCTAGATTCAAAAACATAATGAAAAGTCAACTTTTTATTTCATAAATACGTAAATCAATTCTTAACAAATACAAAGTTGGCTCTGATACCACTGTTGGGAATTTACTTAAACATGCATAGCGGAAATGAAAACAATTTCAATTCTCATCAGAATTCATCTTTGTATTTAGGTAGTTGTAAACTCTTTTGCGTTATCTTTGTTCCAACAACTTAGATCTGCCTCCCACAACTGTTCAATTGTCCAAGTTGCAATGAATTCCACACAGAGAATAAATTGCAACTACCAGGGTTCTTCCTCTTATGCTAGCAAGAATTATGAAAACTGTATAGATTTAAAACCCTAGCTATGTGTTTATATAAGCCCAAACGGGTTCGGCTTGGTCTGGTCCAATATTTAATTAATTCATTTAATTAAATCCGGTTCGTGAATTAATTAATCCAATTATTTAATTTGGGGCCATAAATAATCAACTCAATTAATTAATTTAACTAACGATTGTTAAATTAATTAATTGACAAATTGCAATCTTTCAATTCCTTTTTGTATGCGACCCATCAAATTCCTGATCACGATACTTAACGACGTGAAATATTATTTTGATCCAATCAAAAACTGATAAATTAAAACACCCTTTTAATTTATCACCAATTCACACTTGCCATCCCAGATTGACATCTAGTAATGTATCAGAGCAACACATGTTACGAAAAATATCACGTGGTATGACAAAACCAAATCTATTCGTTTACCATGAAACTATAATCCCTTCGTCAATATGATCCGATCAATTACGAGATATGAAAGTGTATCAATATTGATTATCGATCATATCTTTCATTCTACCATTAAGTCAATATGAGTCGAAAACTCATTTTCGACTTATGAGTATACCTTGGCCAAAAATTTCGTTATCGACTTAATTGAAAGAAATGCATATCACAATCTCTTATTATCTAAGAGTGATAAATCCTCTATCGGTCATTCACAACTTTCAAATGGTTCTTAACATACCCTAGCGATGTCGTATTAGCGGCCCTTGGCAGAGCAATATTCAACACCGTCAAAGCATGACTGTCCTCATGTAAGGTACTATGACTACCTCAAGTCAAAAAACGAATTCCACTACCGAACGTTAGAGATCAACCACTGACACTCTAATAGTTATCCATGTGGAATATCTTAGTGGGTCTCCAATGTTTCGTTCTATAACTAAACATCCAGGCGTTCATTTAAGTATCACCACACTTTAACCTGTGAGATCAGCTACTTATTTCACAAGTAAGAAATGTCACACGTGATGGTCTATCCGTAATAACGATATCCGTATCTCGTTATTACTTAAGACCATGGATTATTCAAGATCCAATCATATGTAATTTGCATCACAATCACAACTCCTTGTGATTAACAAATCATTTAAATTTGAATTTTCGGACTCTATTTTTTAATATTATTTATCAGAATATTAATTTAAATAAATAATATATCCTGCCAAAAATAAATGTATTAAACATATTAAAAGTGTTTACAACCTAAATCGATTGGGCTTAGTTCGTAACACTTACAAGATATATTTGGGCCACTGTTTGTGATGCAAAAGCAATAAGAAGAAAAATGATGTAAATAATACTAAAATAAACATATTATCAATGTTATTACTTATAATTTTTTGAAGAGAAAGATGTAAAGTTTTACCTCCGAAGAAATATGCAAATTATCATAATTAAACGAGAGTCTCGTACCTTAATACTTCACCTATTGTCAGATTTTAAAACCCCTTCTAAGTGGCCATAAAAATTAAAAATTAGCTTAACAGATCCAAGTACAAGTTTTTCATCCATTGACTGATCATGGAAAGCCAAATGCAGTCATTTTCCTTTTTCAAAATTAATAATAACTCTCCATTGAATGCAAATGTCATCGATGCCTGTCAAAGCTTGAAGAATTAGGGTTCAAGTGCGACAATTTGCTTACTAAGGCAAATTGAAACCATTGCAATCGTGAAACGAGTTCTTGATCGGAGACAGGAATTTGCATATGTTCTCTACATTGCTTCTTTAATGATAATTCCCTCAGATCTTCTCTCGATTGCAATAGATTCAAATGATTTGACAGTTGGTAATTGAAGTCGTAGTTATTAAAATTGAATCAGATCAAATCAATCGATCCAAGCGGTTAACCGACACTAGAAAGTGTCCGAGCTGCTGTGTTGGACTGCATACCTAGGGACTAGATCAAAGCCCGTCATAATTGGATGGGTCTGCAGAAAAATCAAAACTAACCTATCCCAAACCTGTTTTAGTGCATGGTTGCTTTAAGTTAATAAGTGGACCTAAATGTATATCAGGGTATCGCTCCCACACAAATAAAAAGAAGAGAATATAAGTTATTTGTAACATCGCTTTCTGTTTAAAAATTATATTTTATCAAAACTTAAAGTTTAGCATTGATGCACAAATTCAGCCAGAGTATCTACCTTGGTTTTTTTGGGATCAATGTTCGGGTCAAATCTTATAACTATAATTTAAGCTATCTAACCACCCACTAATTCATCAAATATATGCGCCGAATCAATTGACAATCACCTGCTAAGAGAATCTCTAACTCATATGGGCAAGTATTTATACGGTAAAAAAAATGATCAAATCAGCTTTATTTGCACATTTGATAGGATTAACAAGTATTACATACTTATTCACCACTTCTATTTATAATACAAACCGATAATAAAAAAATCACTGAAACATGCTTAATCTAACTTGATGGGCTCTGGTCTTTTCTGTTTATTCAGGAAGGCTTATAGGCAAGAAGGTGATAGTGCCCAATATAATTATAAAAAATATATACAAATACAAGATCGATAATTGAAAGGTTTTGATATTTGTTGTATCTTATTCTTTTAAGATATACACAAGCGCGATATTGAAAGTCATTTTATGTGTTGTAATTTCATACAAAGTTAAAATTGTGAAAAAAGATGGATTTAAATTTCTATTTTTACGATCTTATCGAAAAATTTAAATTATTAAAGATATGATAAACACTCGTGATATGTTAATAAAGCAAATTAGATAGCACTAGATATTAATATATTTTGTTTGTAATATTGTAGTGTACCTTAAAATTAAAATAGCTCGATGATAATTCTCTTATAAAATGGAAAAACATATTCTATTTATTCCTTTATCAGGCACTACAATTCCTGACCTCCATTACATTGCAATGTTATTCAAGAAACATCGACCATTATTAAAAGGAAATAAAAATATTTATCCGGAAAACTACTAAAACTTTGACATTATTCACCTTTTATTTTCTTTTTTCTTTTTTTTTTTT